CCCCCCCCCCCCATCTCTCTCAGGTCCCACATCCAAACCATACTCATCCATCCCAGCCCTGCACCCAGACGCCAGGCTCCCTCCCGAGCCCAAGGCCTGGGAGGTCTCTGCGGAACAGCTCAGCAATTGGCTCGGTCTCCTGGACCCACCACAGTTACCTACCCTAACCCACCACAGTGCTGGCCTCCCGTCCAGACCCCGTGCTCCTGGCCCCCTCTCCATCCTCACGGGGCTCTGGGCGGGTGAGGGGCCCGCCATGACACCTTGGCAAGGGGAGCTCCCGAGAAGCCCGGCCGTCAGCTCCAGAGCCTAATTCCTTTTCCTTATTCCTTTAATCTGTCATTTTTATCAGGTGGGGAAGTGCCTGCAGATCAATCTCCACTTTACAGCTGACAGAATGGTGCTAATAACTTATTGATCTCGGCTACCTCCTGCCACTGGCCGGGGCCCAGTGGCCTAGCCCCAGGCCTTGCCCCGTGAGGGAGGGACGAGGGACCGCCCAGACGAAGGGTCCTACCTCAGTGACCTAGCAGGATGGGTGGGGGGGTGCTCAACCAGCACAAGGCCCCTCAGGAAGCCAAAGGGTCTCCGGCCAGCAGGGCTGCAGCGTCCAGCTGTGCCAGGCAGGAAGGTGGGTCTGGGCTGGGTCCACACCTGCTGCCCGAACCCCACCCTGTACGCACGCCTCCTGGACCCAGAGAACGACCCAGGGCTCTCACCTCCCTGCGATCTGTTTCCCATTTTCCACGCTGGGGGTGGGGCTCCTCTCTGCCTGGGAGAGATGCTGGGGAGCACCTCACTGTCGGGAGGACCCACAGTGAGAACCAGGCCCATGGCCACAGGGGGCTCCTGCTGTGGGGGCCTGGGGCTCACCAGGCCCTCATGAGGCCACATCTACTCACAGGCACACCCGGGGCAGCCAGAAGCAGACACACACACAGTCGCCAGATGTCTGCAAGGCCGCCCCAAGCCCTTTCCTCCCGACCCTTCCTGCCCGGGTGAGAATAGGACTGACACGTGCTACTGGGGACGAGGAGGTGAGGGCGGGTGAAGGCCTCCACCCAGGGGCCGGCCGCAGGGCGTGGGAGCTGCTGAGAAGTGGAGTCCCGAGAGGAGGGCAGGGCTCGGGCGAAACCTGGACACACGTGGTGCTTCATGCAGACCACGTGGGACCCCTGAAGTGCTCATATGCGGGCCCTGCACCTGAGCACAAAGAGTGAGGGCACCCTGACACACGCGTGTCACACGGGCGTGAGTGGATACCCAGGCCTCTGGCTGGGCCCGGGGCGCACACGTGCACTCAGGCCACGCACCATGGGGAGGACTCCACGTGTGCAGGCAGCAGGGGGCCTGGCGGCTCAGAATATCTCAACCACTGTGGGGCTCCGGAGGCTCCCCCGATTGATGGGGCAATTCGATTTTATCAGCCGCCTGCTCCGCCCCCAACACGGCTCCAGAAGCAGCACTCCCCCAGAGGCCTACCTAGGCACAGGCACACCTGGAGGCCCTGATGGGGGTACTCAGGTGTCCCAGGACGGTGGGCCATCCCCTGCCCAGCCTTCCTGAGAGCTGCAGCCACTGCTGGGAACTTCCTGGGTTTGCCCTGGTCCATAGGGCAGCAAGGGACTCCTGACACCTCCTCTCAGCACCACCCCCCCGACCTTCAGCCACAGCTCAGCCATGCCGCCCACTCTCTGCAGTGGTGCCTCGTGGGTCCCCAAGTTGTTCCTCCCTCTGAGCTCCTGCTGTCACCAGGAGCCGCCCCTCCTCAGGGACAGAGCTCCTGGGCCAGCACCCTCCTGCCCCACCCCTGCAGAGGTCCAGGCCCCAGCCCCCCTTCTCTCAGGGCGTGGCCCCCTTCCCTCTCGGGGCCCCTCGCTCTGTGGGGTCGGTGGGTACTCCGTGCGTGCAGAGCGTGTCCCTGCCCATCCGGGAGCCACCCCCAGGTGTGCACCTCGGAGCCTCCTTGAGGCCTGCACTCCCTGACTGTCCTGCCTTCTGCTGCCCGTGGGGCCTCCGCCGCTCCAAGCCCCCCGCAGCAGCAGCCACGGTGGAGCCACCGCCTCCGCCTTCTGTCTGCACGGCTGGCCGGGATTAACACAATTACCATCACACAGAGCCCCGGGGGACAGCCGGCCTCGCCCCCTCCCGCCGCCTCCGCTGGCCTCCCTGGCTGCCCGCCAAGGCTGCTGGGGGTGGCGGCGGCATCCAGAGCCGATGAGCAGAGACACAGGGAGGGCCGTGGGGCGGCCTTGCTCTCGCTGAGCTGCCTTGGCTCTGGCAGGCCCGTCCTCAACACCCGCGCCCCCCACCCCCCACCCGGCACTGCCCTGGCCCCTCACCTGCGGCTCCCAGGCCGACCTCCACACTGCCTCTCTGGAATTCACAGCGGCTCTGATGCTCGGGCATAACGAGGTGGCGGCTGCGACGCACACTGGATATGAGGGTGGGAAGGTCGCTGTCCTGGCTGCAGCGAAGCAGACGGGGAAGGTGAGACCCCGTGGGGCTCCTGACTGAGCTCGCGTGTGAGCGCTGTGAGCATCTCCACTCCCTGGTGGGTGTGGGCTCTCACGCTGACCCACGCAGGCGCCACCTGGGCCTACCAGCACCTGCCGAGTGTCTGCTGGACGTGGAGGCCTCGCCCTCAGACCCCACTGCTGCTCCCAGGGAGGGTCTGTCTGGAGTGCAGGGCTGGCCCTGTCCTGCAGTGCTCTCTCCAGAGAGACCGGCCACGGTGTCCCTGCCTCCTGCCTTGGGGGGCCTGCTCCTGGGGTGTAGGCTTCCAGAGGGGCCCAGCACTCACTCCTGTGCACGTGCTAAACTTGCAGCCACCCACGGGCTCTCGATTTCTTCAGATAAGGAAACCGAGGTTGAGAGCAAAGTCTGCAGCCAATGGGGTGTGCGCGTGTCCAGGGACACACATGGGCGCACACACACTCAGCCAGGCCTGCAGACACACACAGACAGACGCGCACCGCGGTCCCCGTGCTCAGGACACTCTGTTCTCGCCAGGGCTCCCCGCCAAGAACCCTGGGATGAGCACAAATTTAACTTTGTTCCCTCATTTCTCTTACTGTCAAATCAGCTCAATGCCTGTATCACAGAACCCCAGAGAAAAGAGGAAGGGAATGGTCCCCCAACCCGTTTGCTCTTGGGGCTCTGAGAGCATCTCCCGTAGCACAGGGAAGGGCCACCCGCCACCGTGCAGATGCAGCCAGGAGTGGCAGGAAGTTGGGATACAACAGAAGAGGAGCAGGGACGGACCCCAGCCTGCCCTGTGACACCCCAGCGCTCCCTCCCCAGCACCCTCGCTCCCCAGCCCACCTGTAACGGAGCAGCCTCCTGTCTGGGCCACTGCAAGGGGGGCCTCCACTGAGTGACCTGGGAACCAACCCTAAACCTCATTAAATAGCCCCCAGCACCCCTCCCCGCAGCCTGGGTGGCTGGAGCACGCTAATCCAGAGCTGGCCCCTAAGCAGATCAGTTTCAGCTCCGAAGCCTCCAGGGCTGGGCTCTAGAGCCTCTGGGAGACCCTGATGCAGGCTCTCTCCCACCCCCAACCCCCTTTCCCTGGAGGCGAGAAGGCCGCCCCCCCCCATGCAAACAAGAGGGCAGATGGGGTGGTAATAAGTACTTTATGGGATTAATTGGCAGCAATTCTCACCCCCTCTATCATCCTCATCAATGCGGGGGCG